ATTCTGATTCAGGTTTGAGGATGAGAAATAAAGAATAGCTCGCTTGAATAAGCATAACCAAGTACCAACTTACATCTTTCTAATCCAAGGCTCTAAAAAACAAAGTATTGGTTATTCTCACAAACAGCTACTACATTCGTAATTAGCATGCTCAGTTACCCCACTATGCCAACTCCCAGTCCTGTAGCTTGAACTTTGCAAAAAATCGATAAAATCGATAAAGATAATGGACGATTTCAAAAACTAATATTTGTAGTCGTAATCAGCATGCTCGATTACCCCCCTCTGCAAACCTTCCAGCCCCGCATGTCAAAATTTACAAAAAATCGATAAAATCGATAAAAAATAATGGACGTTTCTAAAAACTGATATTTTATTCGTAATCAGCATGCTCGATTACCCCCCTGTGCCAACTCCCAGCCCCGTAGGTGGACTCTGCAAAAAAATCGATAAAAATCGATAAAATCGATATCGATCGATGACGAAAAGTAGCCTATGACACCCGTCGGGGCCCGAAGTGTATGTGTGCCAAGTTTGGTCCGGATCGGTTCAGAAATGGAATTTTTATTCGGAACATACGTATAGACATACAGACATACAGACAGACAGACAAACAGACATTCAGCTTTATATATAAGATCGCGGACATACATGTGCCAAAAGTTTTCAAAGGCAGCAGTGTCCGGCATATCTGGGAAAAACTCAGACTTAACAGTTTGCTAAAACGGGATGCCCTTGCAAACCATAGAACTGTTGCGACTGCAAGATACTGCTTCTGAAGCGAAAAATCTCCAGAAGTCTCAACACAGACGCCCTTTCGTCCTTACCGAAGCAGGAAATCGTGATGGGGTAGCCACTGCGGCCAATGATAGCGTCGTACGGCCGTGTCCAGCACGATTTCCTGCTTCAGCAAGGACCGGTGGGCGTACATATTTAGACTTCTGAAGCAATTTTTTCGCTTCAGAAGCAATATTTTGCAGTCGCAACCGGTCTATGATTTGCATGGTCCGCTTCAGTAAACATTTAAGACCAATGTCAAGCGTGGGGTGTGGCGTGCCACACTGGGGGTTGGATTGACGGGTCAGAAAGAGGAGGAAGATCGTTATCAAGGTGATCCTGTGTTAGCGATAAGATGATATTCGCTAACAATGTCAGATAGGCCCAAGGTCCATCATGAAAATACTACAGTGCTGGCCATAGCTTTAGAGCCACCCTAAAAAATCGCTGTAATTTGTCCTCTCTCGGACAAAATTGTCTGAAAAACCAGTATTCTGCGTGTAAGGCAGGTCTTATCACTAACTAGAACGGCTCCCAATTTCATTGATTTGGTCGGAGAAGAATTGAAAATTCGAAAAAGAAACCTGTTCCGAAGGCTGGTCACAGCTACAGAGCCACTCCTATTTCCGATCAATACTACATTCTTTGAACCTGAAATTTTTTGTACATGAACAGCATCAAAATGTGAGGCATCTGCGATACCTGGGAGCTGTCGCCTTTTGAAAAGAAAGTTATACTGCATTTTTTTGCTTTAAAATGCATAAAAAATTACATCGTTCCAAAAATCAGTGCCTTCACAGAAATTTCAAGCAGTTGCTCGGCTCAGATGAATGTCCTAGGATTCGCAATGCCTTTGCAATGAATATGGTGAAAAGCGGTTTATTCAAACATTGCGTGGTCGTTGATATTGATGAACAAGCTTCCCCTTCACCCTCATGTAGACGAGCTTTTGAATCACAAAAGCCGAATTCTAATCACAGGTGCGATAAGGTGAGAATGACCCCTCCATGGTGAAGGGGGTCACAGCGATCGCAGCCCCTGAGGGGCGAAATGGTGGTCCCGATCTCTTCTTCATACAAAAATTTGTTTGCTTGGATGTAATTTTTTACTTTCATCTAAATGAGTTGAAACTAAAAAAGTCTTTAAAATAGTATAATTTATTGACAACATAAATTCCATGAAATTTATTTCCTACCCACCCCTTAATCCCCTGTCACCTTTCTCTTGAACCCCCTTTGGTATAAAACTTGTTCGTTTGTTCCTAATTTCAAAAAATCCACGAATAAGCTAGAAAATATCAGTGAGCCCTCACTATACGAATATCTAACTTACATGCTAGAAGTTGTTAATCAAAAATCTTTTCAAACCTATTTTTCTTCTATTTTATGAGGATTAGCTATATGAAATCAAGCAAAGCTTGGCTGCATGTGTAAACAAACAAACAAGACTCATATTGTTGTCAAAAAATGTATGGCGATGAAATTATTTTTGATAAAAAATGTATGTAAAAACTGCAACATTAAATTTTTGTGCAAGGTTTTTTCTCCTCAATATTCAGGCATATAGGCATTGAATCAAAAATGTTGGGTATTTTTCACTTTTTAAGAACAAACGCGTCGTCCTCCGTTTTCAAATGATATACAGGGTGTCCCAAAAAAATGTTAACACTGTTTGATCGTTAATAACTCCCTTGCTTTCAAGTCTTTCGCCGAGCTTCAGGTATCATTTTGTAGAGCGAGGATAAACTTAGATTTACAGTATCGAGCGAATCATCTAACGCTCCTCGTTACTGTAGAATTACGGTAGGAAATTCCAGCATGTGGAACCGTCATGAAATATGCCCTCTGACAAAATTTTTTTCAAAAAATCTGAAAAATCGTGTACTAGGGTTTTCGCGCACGCTGATTTTACTACACAACTTTTTGCGAGTGTTTTCAGCTTTTTTGAAGGTGTAATCACATTTTTGACACATGCTGGGAAGTCAGTTATTACACTTTACCTAGGATAACTTTGAAAAGAAGTATCGTAATGAAATGAAAATTTCATATCCGAAATCAGAGACTTTCATTACCATAGTACAAGAGATTTTGGCTTGTTGGCTCTGTTTCAAAGCAGAAAATGGGCTTCAATGGCCTAAAATCTTCGTCAAATTTCCTACCGTAATTCTACAGTAACGAGGAAAGTTAGATGATTCGCTTGATACTGTAAATCTAAGTTTATCCTCGCTCTACAAAATGGTACCTAAAGCTCGGCGAAAGACTTGAAAGCAAGGGAGTTATTAACGATCAAACAGTGTTAACATTTTTTTGGGACACCCTGTATAGTGTGTCTCAGATCCGTCCAAAAAACTGCCTGGGAGAAGGTGTGCTCAGTGATTTTTGGAGATTTTCGAGTTTTTAACATAAAATAATACGTAGCTCCTGTAGACGAAAATATTGTGCGTCGTGATGGTCACCGATGGAACCGCCTCGTCCTCCGCTTTCAGAAAATATATACATTGCGTGGAGTCCGTTAAAAAAAGTGCCTGGGTGAAGGGTGTCCTAGTGATTTTTGGAGATTTTTAACATAAAATAATTCATAACTTCTGTAGATGAACATATTGTACGCCGTGATGGTCACCAATGGAACCGCCTTGTGCCCCGCTTTCAGAAAATACATACTTTGCCTGGGTTCCGTTAGAAAAAATGCCGGGTGAAGGGTGAGCGAGACTTTTATAATGGGAGTGCTCAAGTAGACGTCTTTTTACAATGGTAAAAAAGCCTGTACTTGAGCACTCCCTTTATAAAAGTCTCACCCACCCTTCACCCGGCACTTTTTCTAATGGACCTTAGGCAAAGTATGTATTTTCTGAAAGCGGGGCACAAGGCGGTTCCATTGGTGACCATCACGGCGTACAATATGTTCATCTACAGAAGTTATGAATTATTTTATGTTAAAAATCTCCAAAAGTCACTAGGACACCCTTCACCCAGGCACTTTTTTCAACGGACTCCAGGCAATGTATATATTTTCTGAAAGCGGAAAACGAAGCGGTTTCAATGGTGACTATCTCGGCGCACACGATGCTCATCTACAGAAGTTATGAATTTTTTTATGATAAAAACTCGAAAATGTCTAGTAATCACTACTTACACCCGTCACCAAGCACTTTTTTCAACAGACTCCTCCTTTCCTATACATAAAGAATTCACGTACAAATATCTCCTTTGCTTAACTTTACCTCACTGTTGATTTTCTTCTCGGCTTTTGGTGAAGTGGATCACCTTGGTCCCGACTCAGGGGTGAAGAGGGGGTGAGAAAATTCTCACACTATCGCACCTGTGATTCTGTTGCCCAAAAAGCTGTGCATTTTCTCAGTACATCGTCTGTACAACGATAGACTCGTACGCATATCTTGAACACCATCGCAACCCTAAGGACTTTGGTTCCGCCTTGACCGCTCTTTCTTCAGGAATGGGTGGTGCAGTCTGCGTAGTCATACTCTGACCATTGATAGGGGATAATCGCTTAAAACTTTGAAATTGTAGTACTCTTAACAGTTCCGTAAGATTTGACTAGATGAGGAGTTAAAAGGAGCAAAATTTTGTTGGATTTACTGCGCACTACTAAAGTGCAGATGAAGGGTTTCAATTCCAGTATTGCAATTACGGCTTTGCAAAAATTCTGGCAACTTTCGCATAAGTACGTCGTCGCGCAAACAAAGTTTCAACTTCCGACCAGAAGTTTTCGCGCGTCGGAAATCAAGTTTTGCGTCCCAGAAGTCTTACACCTACTCACACATTCGCGGTTGACGACCGCAGATGAAACGGAGTTCGACTCATTGAAAACATGCGGAACACCTCCGTTACGGTCAGGACAATCCGGCTTGGTTTGGGACAAAACTGCCGGAGAAACGCCGGTCGAGCAGTTTTCACTGCGTTTGGTTCGGGATTTGCCTGCAGCACATTTTCCGGTCAAACGCAGGTGAAACGCTGGTTGATGCGGGAGTCCCGAAGCGTGGGGCGTGGATTTAGCCGTAAAACACTCTTGAGTATTGTTCAAATTTCCGGCATACATTCTATACTGAGCAAACCACAGAGACTGACTGAATCGACACAAATTTATTCATCTCAGGTTAATTCAACGACAAAACCAGAACAAAGGAGAACAATACTCTCAACAACAGAATCGCAGCAACAATTATACATCTCTGAGCAAAACCACAAAAAGAGAATCATTCTTCCTCAGGCGAGTCCCGGAGATCCGTTTTTTCGATTGTGGTGCCTTCTTGCCTCGTTATCACTCTTTTTTTTCTGAAATTGAAAAAGAACGAATGACATCAGAAGTCTGAAAAATGGAGAAAAACTCACTTTGGGAGGAATGAGGGTTGGGCGCGCTGCATCTAATTCGTATTGGCGTGCGTCAGCTCTGAAAACAACAGTTAGCACCCTCCATAGCATTTTTTTCGAAGCCACGACCCGGGCGAGACCAGAGCAGTCAGTTTGAGATGAAGCATGAATAACTTACAATGCTCTGCTGATTGCCGCGCGTGCATGTGTTGTCCAGTTTGTTCGCGCTTCTGATAGCGCATCTACCTTTTTCTTCTTTGAGACTCGTTCTACCTCAAATCAGCCCAGTATTTAGAACTGTAGTGACGAAGCTTTTGAAAAGAAGAAACGAGAGCAGGAGAGAGTTAGTACATTTGAAAATAGAGTCTCAAAAATAGTCTCAAAAACCGAAAAACGACGTAAGACATACGTATAGAACACGCGATATGAGTAAGACGGAGAAGCCGGCTACCGCTAATGCATGGAAAATGAAAATGAGCGTGATCGCGGAATGAAAGCTTCTCTCCGATACCTGTTGGCACTTGTCAAGCACGTCCGGTCAAACTCGAACGACTCACAAATCCGATCGATTGTCTTGATACACATCGGAACAATCCCGACCAATTTGCCGGTGGAGTCGGGTCAACGCCAGGACAAAACTTTGTCCCGAAACAAAACGAAAGTGGACGGATCTCCTGCGGTCGTCAACAGCGAATGTCTGAGTAGGTAAGATTAAGCTTCGTTCATCAATATCAACGACTACGCAATTGTCGTCAATGACAAGGAAAACAAGCAATTATGCTAAGTTTGCCTTATCCCTTTCCTTGCAAACTTATTTTAGCTCAAACCACTGCGCGAGCGTGATTCAGACGCCAGCTGCGCAGATGGTTTTGGAATGCGTTTCAGAGGAGGATCTAATTGGCGAGTAGAGAGTCAAATTGGTCGCTTGGCCGGCTCAGTGCCGGTGGCTTCATTCCCACATCACTTTATCATCATAACTCACATATTATAGGTAGGGTAGGATTGCATTTGCTATTGAGCTTTTCTAGTATTTTTTGCCTACTGAGAGTTCAACTAGAGCTAAAATTCGAGTATCACAACAATTATTTGTTGTGTAGTATTATTTCTCCTACTGATCCACAAGAATTATAAAAACTATAAAGCAAGTATCGAGTAGGGAAAGATAACAAGTGTAGCAATTTGTGTTTGCTCTGATTTGCACATGTACTTTTTGCCATTTATTCCTGTGATGATCACCTTTGCCTTAACACTCATTTGTTATGTAATTTCTAGTAACATATTTTATGTTATTTTGTTGCGTTTATTTTATCGTTTCTAAAGTGAAGGTTTAATTACCCAAGTCTGAGTTGAGCTACGCTACAACACAAGTAAGTCCACGTGGCAATTCACCAAGTATATCGAGCCTCTTAGTATTAGACGATTGATGTTCTACATACCTCTCGTAACCTCAACATCAGCCATGTTGACCAAAGTGCTTTTCACCATATTCATTGCAAAGGCTCAGCGAATCCTTGGACATTCATCTGAGCCGAGCAACTGCTTAAAATTTCGGTGAAGGCATTGATTTTTGGAACAATGTAATTTTTTATGCATTTTAAAGCAAAAAAATGCAGTATAACTTTCTTTTCAAAAGGCGGCAGCTCCCAGGTATCGCAGATGCCTCACATTTTGATGCTGTTCATGTACAAAAAATTTCAGGTTCAAAGAATGTAGTATTGATCGGAAATAGGAGTGGCTCTGTAGCTGTGAACAGCCTTCGGAACAGGTTTTTTTTCAGAATTTTCAATTCTTCTCCGGCCAAAATCAATGAAATTGGGAGCCGTTCTAGTCAGTGATATGACACGCCTTACACGCAGAATAGGGTTTTTCAGACAATTTCGTCCGAGAGAGGGCAAATTAAAGCGATTTTTTTGGGGTGGCTCTATAGCTATGGTTAGCACTGTAGCATATTGATATGCCGCACCATCGTATACGCACAGTAAGCGTAATAAAATATCTATAAAAGTCAAAGAGCATCGTTTTCGCAACCAGCATGTCAAGTAACCCTGTGGGACAGTTCCAGCGAATTCTGAAGTCTTGAAATATTGGGCCACTCAAGTGAGATGGTCATTTTCGAACATGCTTTGATTTCAAAGGTAAGTTCAATACTTTTTTGCACTTAATACGAAGAACTACTACTTCTCTGCTCATACTAGGAATTCTACTTCAAACAACCTCCAAATTAAGCATTCAAAGGCAGCGGCTCGGCAGAATGACTTTGGGATATCTATCGTTCTCGGTTCCTCTGGATGAACTAAGCCAAGACTGTGCTTTGCAGCTTCAAAAGATATCAATAATCCTTTTGCAGACGTGGAAAGTGCCGTTTGGGTGGGTCGCGAAAGTGGCTGCTGGAGCCTATAATCCAATTGCCACCGAGGTAGGTACGGTGTCTCCACTCACGAGCCAAAGGCGCTCTAGAGCACAGGCATAAGCGTCCGCTCAAATAGCATTTTCACGTCTGGAAAAGTGGGTTATTGCTATCTTTTGAGACTGCAAAGCATAGCCTTAGACTTAGCTCATCCAGGGAAACCGAGAACGATGAATATCAAGTTGTCATTCTGCCGAGCCGCTGCGTTTAAGAGTAAGCCAAAATCTCGTTTGTTCCATATTTCGCTTCCAATATCTTAGACTAGAGAAGGCCAATCAGGCTCAAATAATTTTAGTGTAAATTACGAAGCTTAGAGTATTGAACATATACTTTCTTGTCGCCTTCCCTCGCGATTAACCTAGCAGCGTAGACTTAGCATTTTACCGTAATCCCAATATTTTCGCAGTATTTTCCGTTTACGTAGGTAAGGGAAAACGGAAAAAAGGACCATACCTTTCCCTAGAAGAAACAATTTCGGATAAAATTCCTGCTATGTTAAGAAGAAGGTTAAGCAGTAACAGCAGTGTATTAGGTTCATATTTTCAATTTTGACTTTCTACTGCAGTAAGTCACATACTTCTCAACTCTGATCAGAATGCAGGGTACCGTTCGATAGAGCAAAGCAAGATCTACAAGATGGCGTGTATGTGCTCACACCAGCTTTAGCGCAACACGAAATAAAAGCCGAAATCTGGCAATTTCCGGATGCCTGAAAAATTGAAAAATTTTTATATCTTCGTTCAAAAAAGACTTCTCGAATCCTGAACTTGCTTACGCTTAAACACTCCACATAAGACATTTGTAATTGCCGTTGCTGTGTTTGCTTCTATGCTAGAAACCGAGAAAACTGAAATTTTCAAGATTCCAAAAAGCGATGATGCACTGTTGGCACATAAGCACGTGTATACTACCTACAGGCCTTCAGGAATATGCTGGTAAATTTTCAGCTCCCTGGAAGCAGTAGTTCCCGAGAAATCTTGAATTGAACATAAAATACCCTCGCAAAATTAGTTAAATTCAATATTTCTCGGGAACTAGCGCTTCCAGGAGGCTGAAAATTTACCGACATATTCCGCTGAAGTGGCTGTTTTAGCACTTCTACATCAGGGAGACATGTAGGTGTGCTAAAATAAACATTTCAGTGGTCTCACTTGAGGAGAAGGCATGATAGCCATCACCGCTCATGAAGAAAGCACATTCTTTCCCCTAACTATGCCGGAATGATAGTTTACGATTCTGAAAATGTTTGTATGGTATGTAAAAAGGAGCATGAATTCAATAACTGTACCAAAACTTCTTTTTCTGCTCTTTCAGTATCCATCAAAGCAGAACTTGTAGGATGCTCGACCGAGACAACTTCAAAGAAAAGGAGAATGAGTATCTGATGAGCAAGTGCCTGAACTGAAGATTAAAAAGGAAAAAAAGACGAGAAAAGATGAGAAATGCGGAAGAGGTTAAAGGACAGGAATGCTGCGAGCTGCGAATTCCCTGTGCGCTGTAGCATACTGTAAAGCAGGAAAGGCTTCAAAAAAGCACGCCCGCGGTGGTGTAAATGCACGAAACGGGGCTGTCATCAACGAAGGTCCTTTAGCTCTCTAGATTTCACGTCTTTTGTCGAGCTTAAGGTACCATTCTGTAGGGCGAGGTTTAACTTACAAGGGAAGTTCACTTAGTCGAAGTGGCGATTCGGAAGAAGATCTACACCAATGATTAGAGCTCAAAAAGTTGATCTCAGATATACCGTCTATATCTGCGACGCATTGTTCTGAAAAAAGTTATGAGCTTTTCTAAAGCCAAATTCTAGTGCATTTTTAGTCGCAAAATCAGGATAATCGCTACACAAAAGTGTGCAAGCTTGAGCAAACCACCTTCGAGTACATCCGAACGCTTTCAATTGTTTTTCGACCATGTTGTTAATCCACAGGTCGTCATTCCATTCCTAGATCACACTTCCATTATGTGAACAAAAAAGCCACATAACCTCCATCCAGGAAAAGCGTCGCGTCGGAAACTTTTTGGAAACCACCAATGGATAGAACGTAAAACGATGTTCTCAAATATATCTTCAATATCTGCGACGCGTTCTTCTAGATGGAGGTCATGGGTTTTTTTGTATATATAAAACTAGCTGGCTTACCCGGCTCCGCCGTATGTTCCGAATAGAAAATTCTATTTTTTAACCGATCTAGACCAAACTTGGCACACATACACTTCGGGCCCGGCGGGTGTCACAGTCCACTTTTCGTTATCGATCGATGTCGATTTTATCAATTTTTTTGCAAAATTTGAGCTAGGGGGCTGAAATTTGGCAGAGGGGTGTAATCGAGCATGCTGATCACCCCCACGAGGGTGATCAGCATGCTCGATTACCCCCCCCCCCTGTGCCAACTCCCAGCCCCGTAGCTCGAATTTTGCAAAAAATCGATAAAATCGATATCGATCGATAACGAAAAGTGGCCTATGACACCCGCCGGGGCCCGATGTGTATGTGTGCCATGTTTGGTCCGGATCGGTTCAGAAATGGAATTTTTTATTCGGAACATACGTACACACATACAGACAGACAGACATACAGACATACAGACAAACAGACATTCAGCTTTATATATAAGACTAGCGACCCTACGGGTCGCTAGTAGGTGGGTGGGGGCAGATACATTGATATCTGCCATTAATTAACTAAAATCCCAAGAAAGAGAATTTTCATCTTCCCAGCGACCTTTCGCATGTTGTGAGTAGTAGAAACAAAACACTATGCTCTTAGAAAAAGAAGCTACTACCACTGACTATGCGCAAAGCATCTTTGCTGTTTTCTTGCACATACCTTTGCCCAGATACCACAGCTCTTAAACAAGGAAGCTACCTCGAAGCACCTGTTTAGAGCAGCTGATTCATCTCAAAACTCAGATTGATTTCCAGGAAAGTGCCATGTTAAAGGAAGCGTCAATTTATGTCTTCCAGCAGCCAAAAACTCAGATATGTCGGTAAAAACGAAGCAGCATTTTCTTCGATGATGTCTTGCCAGTGAACGGGCTCATTTCTTGAACAGAAGCTGGCCCAGCGCCTTCTTTTGAAGGACAATCTTACCGAAACTGTCCTGTCGTATAAAACCCTAGTTCTTTCCTTCCCTCGAAACCAAGCTCCTTATGCTTCCGCTTTTAGCAGAAGTATGGTTGAGAAGAAGGGTAATTTTTCCAGCAAGTTTCTGTATAATCAAATATTGACACCTAAAAACTTCTAGCGCAAATATCTTGCTGCCTGAGCCCTGAGTCTTTTCTTCCCTCGAGACCGTGCTCTCTGTTTTTTGCTTCTAGGGACAAAAGTGTGGTTTTTGCAAAGTTCAGAAGGCCAAAATTTTCAGCAAAGATGATTTCCTGTCGCAAGAAGCTCATGGGTCTGTTTGGATGTATGTCAAGAGACGCGATTCTTATTACCAGATGGGCAGTATATAGCACATACTTAGTGTTTTATGAAGTTCCAGGATTATTTGAAATTTCAAAAGAAGTACATTAGAGAATTGCAGGAATTCTTCGATCTTATCATTTTGAAAGCGATTCAAAACAAAATTGTTGAAGGTCAAAAACCCATGAAAATGCAGTTTATAGCAATTTTGTAACTATTTCGGTCAGTTTTCTAGCAAAAGTCGTCGAACTTATCAGATGGTTACTTCAAACAGCTAGTAAGCCGATGGACTTTGTCCGACACTTTTTGAACACTCCCATAGCGAGAAACTGAAGTTTTAAGTTGGTGACAGCCAGAAAAATCGCGCCTCTTGACCGTCTCCCGGTCTGTCTTTCCCTCGAGACCACTCTTCTGTTTTCAGAGGCAGAAGTCTGGTTTTTGCAGAGTGGAATGGCCACAAGTGAATTTTAAACAAGTTTCTGTAGAATACACATTGATACCCAGAAGTTTTCAGCGAAAATATCTTGCTGGCTGAGCTTATGAGTCTCTTTTCCTCGAAACCAAGCTATCTGTGCTGTTTTGCTTTTAGGGGTGAAGTATGGATTTTGCAGAGTAGAATGGCCACGAATTTCAAACAAGTTTCTGTATAATT